GGGGAGGCGGCGGCGGGGGGGGGAGGGGGCGCCCGCTCCATGCCCGGCCCCGGGGTCAGGGGGCGCCGCTTCGGGCTCGGCTCTGATTGGCTGGAGCGGTACAGGGAGGGCGGGAGTTGCTGAGGGGAGCCGCGCGTTGATTGGTTGGTTTGGTTTAGGGCGCGGTGATTGAAAGATAAAGCGAAGGGGAGGCGGGAGTTGCTGAGGGGAGGCGCGCGGTGATTGGTTGAATGGGCGGGGGTTCCTGACGGAAGACGTGTGGTGATTGGTTGGTGAAAGAAAAAAGAGGCGGGACTTGCTGAGGGGAGGCGCGCGTTGATTGGTTCGTTCACGGCGAGGGAGGAGGGAGTTGCTGATGGGAGACGCGCGTTGATTGGTTAGCTCTGCACGGGGGAGGCGGGCATTGCTGAGGGGACACGAGCGGTGATTGGTTGGTTTGGAAAAGGGAGAGGCGGGCATTGCTGAGGGGAGTCGCGCGGTGATTGGTTGATTTGGGGCGCGGCGCGCCGCTATTGGCTGGGAAAAGTCCGGGATTTTTAAGGGAATATTCCCGGTTTTTTGGGGAAAAATTCCGGGATTTTTTTGGAAAAATTCCCGTTTTTTAGAGGAGAAACATTTCTGGATTTTTTGACCCCCAAATAACCCAAATATCCCTAAATAAACTCCAAAAATCCACAAAAATCCATAAACAATACCTAAAAAACGCTAATAACCTCAAGCAAATCCAAATAACCTCAAAAAACCCAAATTAAACCCAAATAACACCAAATGACTCCAAGTACACCTAAATAAACCGCAAATGCACCAATAAGAATCCAAATAACCCCAAAGAAACCCCAGATAATTCCATATAAACAAAAATACCAATGCAAATTAACCCAAATAAGCCCAAATACTTCCAAATAACCCAAAAAAAACAAAAAAAAAACCCAAAAGAACCCCAAACAAAGGAAATTAAAAACAAAAACAAAACACAAAAAACCAAATAAACTCAAAAAACACAAAATAAACATAAATAAACCAATTTAAAGCCAAGATTATCCCTAAAAAAATCGATAAATAGCCCCAAATAAATCCCAAATAATCCCTAAATAAACTCAAGTAACTCCAAGTAGACCTAAATAAACACCAAAGTAATCAAAACAAAACGCAAATAAACCCAAATAATTCTATATAACCCTAAATAAACCAAATTATACCCAAAAAAAAACCAGATTAACCCCAAAAAAACCCAAAAAAAAACACCCTCAAATAAACCCCAAACAATCCCTAAATCAACCCAAAAATACCCCAAGCAACCCCAGTTCCTCCCGTCCCCACCCCACAACAGATCCCGGCCAATCAGAAAGTGCGGCAGTGATGACGATACAGTTGCTGGGCAGAAACTCAGAGCTCAGCGATTTTCAGCCAATCAGCGCCCGGCTCGGCTCTGACTCATCAGTTGCTAGGTAGAGATCAAGGCCTCTCAATACGTTAAACACCCAGAGACCGCGCCGGTAATTTCCAGCCAATCAGAGCGTTTCTCGCTGATGACTCATCAGTTGCCAGGTGAGAAATTTGGGGACGGGGGTAAGGTGACCCTGGGGATGGGGTGGGGACCCCAAATTAATCCAAAACGGGGTCGGGACCCCAAAACGGAGCAGGAGGGGCCAGGAACCCCCAAAAAAAAACACGGGGGAGGGGATGGGACCCCAAAATTCAGCTGGGAGTGGGATGGGACCCCAAACAGGATGAAGCCAATTTTGTTCCTGGAATATGTAAAGTAGTTTATGGGTATGCAAAGAGATCTATGAATATGCAATAGGGTGATGTAATGGGAGACAAGGACCATCGAGCAAAGCGTATTATGGCCACCAAGACCCCCCAGTTATTTTCGGGGACACCCCTTAATTAGTCTGGTTTTAATTACCTCAGCCTGTTGAATGTTCACAGGCCCTTATGCAAATCCATAAAATAATTTGCATATTCCAGGAACGATTTTACACGGCCTCTCCCTGGGGCTGTCTCCCCATTTCAGGAGCCTCCGTTGAAATGGAAAATGTAAACACTCTTAATAATAATAATAATAATAATAATAATAATAATAATAATAATAATAATAATAATAATAATAATAATATACTATAAAAATAATTAATTTTGAAATTAAGTGTGTCTCAGGCAAAGATATGGGAGTAGAAATAACAGTTCTTTATTAGGAGAAAATTAAAAATATAAATGCAGGAGTGCAAACAAACAAAAAAAAAAGGGGAAAGAGTCAGAATCCTCTGGGAATCCAGTGGGAAAAGGATTCCCTGGGATTCCCAAATCCTTTGGGAATCCATTTCTTACCCCACAAAGGGCAAAGGCAGGGCCGTGGGGTTTTTATAGGATATCCCAGGAGAGACTGGAAGCAACTGGGATTATACTGGGACCCCACTGGGAGGGCTGGCATGTGACTGGGATCAAACTGGAGCTTACTGGGATCATATTGGGGTTGAAAGGGAGCGACTGGGATCACACTTTGGGCTACTGGGAGCAGCTGAGGGAAACTGGGATGATGCTGCAAGCAAACTGGAGCAACTGGGAAGGACTGGATGCGTGCTGGAGGCAACTGGGATATACTGGGCATGACTGGGGGATCATACTGGGATAACTGACACCTTACTGGGGCCACTGGCAGTGCCTGGAAATGACTGCAGACATGCTGGGGGCAACTGGGATATACTGGGAGTGTCTGGAACCATCCTGGGGGGACTGGAACCACACTGGGAACAACTGGGACCATGCTGGGGAGAACTGGGACCACGCTGGGGGCAACTGGAGTGAGTGGGACCATGCTGGGAGGGACTGGGATCATCTGGGGAGGGACTGGGACTAGAGCAGGGGGCAACTGGGTCCAACTGGGACCATCCTGGGAGCGTCTGTAACCATAGGGGAGTGATGGAAGCACACTGGGAACAGCTGGGCCCATGCTGGGAGCAACTGGGATCCCACTGGGGGTGACTGGAATCAGACTGGGAGTGACTGGGAGCAACTGGGATTAGACTGCAAGGGGACTGGGATCATACTGGGAGTGGCTACACTCATACTGGGATTATACTGGGTGTGAATGGAACCTGACTGGGGCTTACTGGGAGCTACTGGGCCCATGTTGGGAGGAAAATGTGACCCACTGGGAGCAACTGGGATCGGCTGGAAGGTTCTGGAACCATGCTGAGAGGACTGAGACTACAACTGGGGCAACTGGGACCATACTGGGAGTGTCTGTAAACCATAGGGGAGTGATGGAAGCACACTGGGAACATCTGGGAACAACTGGGATCACTCTGAGGGTGACTGGAATCATGCTGGGATTGACTGGGAGCAACTGGAATGGAGCTGAAAGCCACTGGGAGGAAGTGGGAGTGACTGGGAACAAGCTGGAAGCAACTGGGATCAACTGGGAGAGACAGGGAAGCACTGGGATCATACTGGAGGCTACTGGGGTCATGCTGGCATGGACTGGGAGCAACTGGGATCACACTGGGGGCACTGGAATTGTACTGGGAGTGTCTGGGAGCAACTGGGATTGGACTGCAAGGGACTGGGATCATACTGGGAGTGGCTACAACCATACTGGGATTAGAGTGGGTGTCCATGCTGGGAGCCAACTGGGGACAAAATTAGGGGAACTGGGAGAAAATTTGGGACAAGTGAACCACGCTGAGGTAACCAGGAGTGCCTGGCAATGACTGCCAGAATGTTCAGGGCAACTGGGATATACTGGGAGGGTCTCGGACCATATGGGTGTGGGACTGGGAGCAGACTGGGAGCGACTGGGAACACGCTGGGAGAGACTGGGATCATACTGGGAGAGCCTAGGACTATGCTAGGGACAACTGGGAGAACTGGGAACACGCTGGATGAAAGTGGGAGGAACTGGGAGCAACTGGGACCGTGTTGGGAGAAAATTCCATGATCATAGGGAAGGACTGGGAGGGACTGACCTCGTCTGAGAGTGACTGGGATCATGCAGGGAGGCAGGGGAAATGACCAGGATTATACTGGGAGTGCACAGGCCCATACTGGGAGTGACCAGGCTCATACTGGGAGCAGCCACTGGTGGCACCGGGACCACGATGTCCCCCCGAGGGCCCCCCCAAAAAACCCCAAACCCAGGCACCCCCCGGGATATTTGGGCCGCGCTCCCCCTGCCCCAGGACCGGCAAAATGGGGGGCGATGCATCTGGGGCTGTGGCATTTTCAGGGAGGGCCCGGGCCACGAGATTCTCCCTCTCCTCTTGTGCTGCGGCCGCTCGGCCTCTTCCTCCCTCCCTCCTCCTCCTCTCCCGTTCCCGAAGGCCAAACCGTGAGGGGAAAGGGGGCGAAGAAAGGACGGGAACCGTGAGGGGAAAGGGGGCAGGGAAAGGACAGAACCGTGAGGGGAAAGGGGGCGAGAAAAGGGCGGGAACCGTGAGGGGAAAGGGGGCGAGAAAAGGGCGGGAACCGTGAGGGGAAAGGGGGCAAGGAAAGGGCGGGAACCGTGAGGGGAAAGGGGGCAAGGAAAGGGCGGAACCGTGAGGGGAAAGGGGGCGAAGAAAGGACGGGAACCGTGAGGGGAAAGGGGGCGAGAAAAGGGCGGAAACCATGACGGGAAAGGATGCAGGCCAAGGGCGGGAACCGTGAGGGGAAAGGGGGGCGAAGAAAGGACGGGAACCGTGAGGGGAAAGGGGGCAAGGAAAGGACGGGAACCGTGAGGGGAAAGGGGGCAGGGAAAGGGGCGGGAACCGTGAGGGGAAAGGGGGCGAGAAAAGGGCGGGAACCGTGAGGGGGAAAGGGGGCAGGGAAAGGGCGGAACCGTGAGGGGAAAGAGGGCGAGGAAAGGACGGGAACTGTGAGGGGAAAGGGGGCGAGAAAAGGGCGGGAACCGTGAGGGGAAAGGGGCGGGCTCAGGCCAAGGGCGGGAACCCTGAGGGGACACTCTGGGAGGCGGCACCCTGCAAGCAGAACTGCAACGGACTTAACATGAACGGAAAAGTAATCAGTAAGTCTGAGAGTTTTATTTGCTATCAAATACATCCCACACACCCAGCCCCACACAATCCCCATCCCACCTCTCCAAAAAGGGATCACACTTGTGCCTGTCTCCTCCCAAACCCATCTAAGCCTGGTGGCTCTGGAAACGAGTGGGTTTGGCGTGGAATTGAGGTTTTCTGAGGTGGGGATGATCTCTTTTGGGGTAATATTGAGCTGTTTTCAGTGGGATTAGGATCGTTTTGAGGTGACAGATCCATCCCTCTTGGCTTTTGGAGTGCAAAGAGATGGAGAAGAGAGAAACATTAAGGTGAAACCAAAAGGAAAACAAGCCACCTGTGTTCCTAACAAGGATCACAGGGACTGTGGCTCACCAGGGCTGTGCCCAAAGTGCCTCCTCCAGTGGGGGATGGGAGCTGCAGCAGCGCACGAAGCTCTTCCCGCACTCGGGGCACTCGCAGGGCTTCCCTTACCGGTGCCTCCGTTGGTGTTTGGTTAAGCAAGAGCTGCTGGAGAAGCTCTTCCCACACTGGGGACACTCGTAGGGCCTCTCCCCGGTGTGGATGCGCCGGTGGATGACGAGGGTGCAGTTGCGCTTGAATCCCCCTCCCGCAGTCAGGGCATTCGAAGGGCCTCTCCTCTTTGTGAATCCAATAGTGCTGGAAGAGATGGGAGCTGGTCTGAAAACTCTTCCTGCATTTATCACACTCGTAGGGCCTCTCCCCTGTGTGGATGCGCCGGTGGATGATGAGGGTGGAGTTCTGCCTGAATCCCTTCCGCAGACGGGGCATTGGAAGGGCCTCTCCTCTGTGTGAGTCTGATAGTGCCGGAGGAGTTTGGAGCTGGTCTGAAACTTCTTCCCCACACTTGGAACACTCGTAGGGCCTCTCCCCTGTGTGGATCCTCTGGTGCGTGATGAGGTTGAACCTCTGGCTGAAGCTCTGTCCACACTCCCCACACTCGAAGGGCTTCTCCCCTGTGTGGGTTTTCTGGTGCAAGGTAAGGCTGGAGCTGTGGCGGAAGCGTATCCCACACACGGAACACTCGTAGGGCCTCTCCCCTGTGTGGATCCTCTGGTGGCTGATCAGGTCGCAGTTCCGAATGAAGCTCTGCTCACACTCCCCACATTTGTAGGGCTTCTCCCCACTGTGGATCTTCTGGTGCTTGATCAGGTGAGACCTCCAGCTGAAGCTTTTCCCACACTCCCCACACTCGTAGGGCCGTTCCCCAGTGTGGATCCTCTGGTGGTTGATCAGGTCGCAGCTCCGGCTGAAGCTCTTCCCACACTCCCCACACTTGGAGGGCCGTTCTCCAGTGTGGCTCCTCTGGTGCCTGATCAGGTGGGAGCTGCAACTGAAGCTCTTCCCACACTCCACGCACATGTGGGGCTTCTCCCCAGTGTGGGTCCTCTGGTGCCTGATCAGGTGGCAGTTCCACCTGAAGCTCTTCCCACACTCCACGCACGTGTGGGGCTTCTCCCCATCATGGAACTGCTCATGGAGCATCAGCTCCGAGCTCTGCCTCCATGTCTGGCCACCTTCCGCTCTTTCCTCCTCACATCCCCGCCATCTGCATTCGCAGCCCCTCCTCGTGCTGCATGCCCGGGCCTTTTCCTCCCCGTTGGCTTCCTGCGCCGTGGAGCCGCTCAAAACGGCCTCTGCCACCAGGTTCTGCCGCGGGCATTTGTCCTCCCTGCTCTCCATGCTCAGCTCCTGCTCTGGGCGAGGAAGGACAAGGACGAGCATGGGATTTGCCTCCGTGCCACAAGCAAGGGCAACGAGATCCCCCCAGGGCGTCCCCGGCAGGACGGCACCGGCACCCCCCGATGTCCCCCCGAGGGGCCTTTTCCGCTCAGCCTTGGACTTCTTCATTCTCCAAACATCCCCCCAAAAAAAGCCAACTCAGGGATCCTCTGGGTTATCCGGGCCGGGCTCCCCCTCCTGCTCACCTGCTCGATAGGGAGGAAGGGGCGATGATCCCACAGGCGGGGGCTGCGAATTCAGGCAGAGCTCGGCCATTGAGCGCCTTCAGCTCAGCCTCGATCCGCCTTTGTCCCTCCCCTTCCTCTTCCTCCCGCTCCTCCTCTTCCATCCCCCCTCCTCCACCTCTGTCTTATCTCCACCTCCTTCTCCTCTTCCATCCCCTTCCCTTCCATCCCTTCTCCTCCTCCTCCTCCCTAACCCCCCCCTCCTTCTCCTCCTTCCATCGCTGCTCTCCCTCCGCCTTCATCCCTCCTCTTCCATCTCCCCCGCCCCCGCCTCCTCTCCAATAACCGGCTGGAACCGTGAGGGGAAAGGGGCGGGGAAAGGGCGGAACCGTGAGGGGAAAGGGGGCGAGGAAAGGACGGGAACCGTGAGGGGAAAGGGGGCGAGAAAATGGGCGGAACCGTGAGGGGAAAGAGGGCGAGAAAAGGGCGGGAACAGTGAGGGGAAAGGGGGCGAGAAAAAGGCGGAACCGTGAGGGGAAAGGAGGCGAGAAAAAGGCGGAACCGTGAGGGGAAAGTGGGCGAAGAAAGGACGGGAACCGTGAGGGGAAAGGGGGCGAGAAAAAGGCGGAACCGTGAGGGGAAAGGGGGCGAGAAAAGGGCGGGACCGGAAGGGAAAAGGGGGCGAGAAAAGGGCGGGAACCGTGAGGGGAAAGGGGGCAAGGAAAGGGCGGGAACCGTGAGGGGAAAGGGGGCGAGGAAAGGGCGGGAACCGTGAGGGGAAAGGGGCGGGCTCAGGCCAAGGGCGGCAACCCTGAGGGGACACTCTGGGAGGCGGCACTCTGCAAACAGAACTGCAATGGACTGAACATGAACGGAAAAGTAATCAGTAAGTCTGAGAGTTTTATTTGCTATCAAATACATCCCACACACCCAGCCCCACACAATCCCCATCTCACAGCTCCGAAATGGGATCCCACTTCTGCCTGTCTTCCTTCCAAACCCATCTAAGCCTGGTGGCTGTGGAATTGAGTGAGTTTGGCATGGAATTGAGTTTTTTCAGGTGGGTTTGAGCCCTTTTGGGGTAAGATTGAGCTGCTTTCACTGGGATTTGAGTGGTTTTGAGGTGACACATGTATCGATATTGCCTTTTGGATTGCAAAGAGATTGAGAAGAGAAAAAAATTAAGGCCGGAGCAAAAGGACAAGCAGCCAGGAGTGTTCCCAACATGGATCACAGGGACTGTGAGTGACCAGGGCTGTGCCCAAAGTGCCTCCTCCAGTGGGGGATGGAGCTGCAGCAGCGCACGAAGCTCTGCCCGCACTCGGGGCACTCGCAGGGCTTCCCTTAGTGCTGCCTCCGTTGGTGTTGGGTCAAGTGAGAGCTGCAGGTGAAGCTCTTCCCACACTGGGGACACTCGTAGGGCCTCTCCCCGGTGTGGATGCGCCGGTGGATGATGAGGTGGGAGTTCTGCATGAATCCCTTGCCACAGTCGGGGCATTGGAAGGGCCTCTCCTCTGTGTGGATCCGATAGTGCAGGAGGAGATGGGAGCTGCTGGTAAAGCCCTTCCCACACACGGAACACTCGTAGGGCCTCTCCCCAGTGTGGATCATGTGGTGCCTGACCAGGGTGGAATGGTGGCTGAAGCTCTTCCCGCACTGCCCGCACTTGTAGGGTCTCTCCCCGGTGTGGATGTTCTGGTGCTGGATCAGGCTGGAGCTGCGGCTGAAGCTCTTCCCACACTGCCCACACTCGTAGGGCCTCTCCCCATTGTGGATCATCTGGTGGCTGAGCAGGTGGGAGCTCCTTCTGAAGCTCTTCCCACACTCCCCACACTCGTGGGGTCTCTCCTTGGAGTGGATGTGTTGATGCTGGACCAGGGTGGAGTTGTCCCTGAACCCCTTCCCACACTCAGGGCATTGGAAGGGCCTCTCCTCCGTGTGAATCCGATAGTGCAGGAGGAGATAGGAGCTGGTCTTAAAGCCCTTCCCGCACTCGGAACACTCGTAGGGCCTCTCCCCTGTGTGGATCTTCAGGTGCACGATCAGGGCAGAATTGTGGCTGAACCTCCTTCCACACTCCCCACACTCGTAGGGCTTCTCCCCAGTGTGGGTCCTCTGGTGCTCGATCAGGCTGGAGCTGCGGCTGAAGCTCTTCCCACACTCCCCACACTCGTAGGGCCTCTCCCCGGTGTGGATCCTCTGGTGCCTGACCAGGTGCGAGCGCCGTCTGAAGCTCATCCCACACTGCCCACACTCATAGGGCCGTTCCCCAGTGTGGATCACCTGGTGCAGGACCAGGCTGGAGCTCCACCTGAAGCTCTTCCCACACTCCACGCACGTGTGGGGCTTCTCCCCATCGTGGAGCTGCTCATGGAGCATCAGCTCCGAGCTCTGGCTCCATCTCCGGCCACCTTCTCCTCTTTCCCCCTCACATCCCCGCCATCTGCGTTTGCAGCCCCTCCTCGTGCGGCATCTCCGGGCCTTTTCCTCCCCGTTGGCTTCCTGCGCCGTGGAGCCGCTCAAAACGGCCTCTGCCACCAGGTTCTGCCGTGGGCATTTGTCCTCCCTGCTCTCCATGCTCAGCTCCTGCTCTGGGCGAGGAAGGACAAGGACAGCATGGGATTTGCCTCCGTGCCACAGGCAAGGGCAACGAGATCCCCCCCAGGGCCGTGCTGGGCTGGGAGATGGAGCAGCACAGAGGGGAAAGGGGCACTGACTTCCTCCTCACCTGCCTCAGTGTCCCTGGGGCATCTTCCTCTTCCTCACAGGCTGCCGAGTGTTGGCAATGGGAAATCCTGGTTTGGGAAAAACAAGGGATGAGCACGTTGAGTTTGAAGTTCATCTCTACAAGTCACCGCCCACCTGGGCTCCAGAAAACCCTCCCAAACACCAAAATTCAGCCCTGAAAAAGCCTCCCAGGGGTTCCCCATTCCCTGGTCCCTCCCCTCTGGTGTTCGGGGGTTCCCCCTTATCCCAGCTGCTTGCATTGGGGGTCCCCCTTCTCCTGGGTGCCCGCCCTGCCCAGGCTGCTGGCAGTGCCAGCAATGCCCAAAGCTCCCCCCTCTTGGCTCTCCCCATTTCGGGATGCCGGGGCTCTTTGGGCTCCCGGGCTCCCTTCTCCCCTCATTCTCTGCTCTGCGCTGCAGCGGCTCCAAGGAGTCCCCCCTGCCCCTCTCCAGGCTCTTGAGGCTCCCGCCAATGGCGGCGCTCCCCCCTCTCTGGGCTCCCCACTTTGGCCTCCTGGGGCACACAGGGCTCTGCTCCTCCAGGCTGCCTCTGCCGGCAGCCGCCACCGCCACCCCCCGATGTCCCCCCGAGGGGCCTTTTCCGCTCAGCCTTGGACTTCTTCATTCTCCAAACATCCCCCCAAAAACCCAACCCAGGGACCCCCCGGGATATCCGGGCCGGGCTCCCCCTCCCCGCTCACCGGAGCCATGGGGGGGGCGATGATCCCACAGGTGGGGGCTGCGAATTCAGGCAGGGCTGCAGGGAATGGCTCCGTCCGCTCGGCCTCGATCCGCCTTTGTCCCTCCTCTTCCTCTTCCTCTTCCTCCCGCTCCTCCTCTTCCATCCCCCCTCCTCCTCCTCCTACCCAACCGCTCCTCCTCCTCTTCCCTCCTTCCCCTTTCCCTCCCTCCTCCTCCTCCTCTCTTTCCCCACCTCCTGCTCTTCACTCCCTCCTCCTCTTCACTCCCTCCTCACAGAAAGGGACGGAACCCCCAATACCCGCCCCAGGACTCCCCCAAACCCCGAAGAACTCCCCCAAATTCCCCCCAGGACATCCCAGCTCTCCCCTAGGATGACCCGAAGCCCTCCCAGGACTCCCCAAATCCCCCAGGACACCTCAAAACCCACCCAGGACACCTCAAAACCCACCCAGGATGTCCCCAAACTCCCCCCGGACTCACCAAATCCCCCCAGGACACCTCAAAACCCACCCAGGATGTCCCCAGGTCCCCCCAGGACTCCCCAGATCCCCCCAGGACATCCCAAAACCCACCCAGGATGTCCCCAAATCCCCCCAGGACTCCCCAAAATCCCCCAGGACACCTCAAAACCCACCCAGGATGTCCCCAAACTCCCCCTGGACTCACCAAATCCCCCAGGACACCTCAAAACCCACCCAGGATGTCTCCAAACTCCCCCTGGACTCACCAAATCCCCCAGGACACCTCAAAACCCACCCAGGATGACCCGAAGCCCTCCCAGGACTCCCCAAATCCCCCCAGGACACCTCAAAACCCACCCAGGATGCCCCAACTCCCCCCGGAGTCACCAAATGCCCCCCAGACACCTCAAAACCCACCCAGGATGCCCCAAAATCCCCCCAGGACACCTCAAAACCCACCCAGGATGTCCCCAAACTCCCCCCGGACTCACCAAATCCCCCCAGGACACCTCAAAACCCACCCAGGATGTCCCCAAGTCCCCCCAGGACTCCCCAAATCCCCCAGGACACCTCAAAACCCACCCAGGACATCCCAAAACCCACCCAGGATGTCCCCAAATCCCCCCAGGACTCCCCAGATCCCCCCCAGGACACCTCAAAACCCACCCAAGATGTCCCCAAATCCCCCCCAGGACACCTCAAAACCCACCCAGGATGTCCCCATACTCCCCTCGGACTCCCCAAATTCCCCCAGAACATCCCAAAACCCACCCAGGATGTCCCCAAGTCCCCCCAGGACTCCCTAAAATCCCCCCAGGACACCTCAAAACCCACCCAAGACATCCCAAAACCCACCCAGGATGTCCCCAAGTCCCCCCAGGACTCCCTAAAATCCCCCCAGGACACCTCAAAACCCACCCAGGACTCCCCAAAGTCCCCCCAGGACACCTCAAAACCCACCTAGGATGTCCCCAAGCCCTCCCAGGACTCCCCAAATCCCCCCAGGACACCTCAAAACCCACCCAAGATGTCCCCAAATCCCCCCAGGACACCTCAAAATCCCCCCAGGACTCCCCAAATCCCCCCAGGACACCTCAAAACCCACCCAGGATGTCCCCAAATCCCCCCAGGACTCCCCAAAATCCCCCCAGGACTCCCCAAATCCCCCCAGGACACCTCAAAACCCACCCAAGATGTCCCCAAATCCCCCCCAGAACACCTCAAAACCCACCCAGGATGCCCCAAAATCCCTCCAGGACACCTCAAAACCCACCCAGGATGCCCCAAACTCCCCCAAATCCCCCCAGAACATCCCAATCCCCCCCCAGGACACCCCAAACTCCCCCAAATCCCCCCAGAACATCCCAATCCCCCCCAAGAAGCCCCAAACCCCTCCTGATCTCCCCTAAACCCCCCCAGGACACCCCAGAATCCCCCAGGCCAGTTTTGGGGTGCAGCGGGTGCTTTATTACATTTGTACAACGGCGGCGCTGGGGCCCCCCCGGCTTTCTATGGCTTGTGCTGGGGGGAAGGGGGGGCCGGGACCCCAAAATTTGGGTTTTGGGGGAGCCAGGACCCCAAAATTGAGGTTTTGGGCAGGCCGGGACTCCAAACTCAGATTTTGGGGTGGCCAGAACCCCAAACTCGGATTTTGGGGGGACCAGGACCCCAAAATGAAGGTTTTGGGAGTAGCCAGGACCACAAAACCAAGGTTCAGAGGATGCTGGGACCCCCAAATTAGAGTTTGGGGTGACCTGGACCCCAAAATCGGGGCTCGGGACCCCAAACCCAGGGCTCGTGGTGGAGGAGGTGGGACCCCAAAATTCAGGTTTTTTCGGGGGGGCCGGGACCCCAAAGTTTGGGATTTTTGTGGGGCCGAGAGCCCAGAGTGGGGGCTCGGGGGGTTCATTTCCGCCGGGGCCGGTCGGGGTCGCGGCGGGGCAGCCCCTCGTCGGTGGAGGAGGTGGTGAGGAGGCCCTGCTGCCAGCGGGCCAGCTCGGCGTGCTCCTGAGCGCTGGCGGCCAGCGCCCGCAGCCAGCCCTGCATGTCCTCCTGCGGGGCAGAAACGGGGTCAGGAACACCGGAAACGGGGCCGGGGGCACCGGAAATGGGGTGGGGGGGCACCGGAAATGGGGTCAGGGGCACCGGAAACGGGGTCAGGGGCACCGGAAATGGGGTCAGACACCCTAAAAATGGCATCAGGGACCTCAGAAACGGGCTCAGGGGGGCAATGGAATCGGGGTTAGGGACAATGGAAATGGGGTCGGGGGCAATGGAAATGGGGTGGGGGGCACCGGAAATGGGGACGGGGGCACCGGAAACGGGCTCAGGGACACCGGAAACGGGGCCGGGGGCACCAGAAACGGGGCCGGGGACCCCAGAAACGGGGTCAGGGACCCCCGAAACGGGGTCGGGGGCACCGAAAATGGGCTCAGGGACCCCAGAAATGGGGCCGGGGGCACCGGAAACGGGGTCGGGGGCACCGGAAATGGGGTGGGGGGCAACGGAAATGGGGTGGGGTGCAACGGAAACGGGGTTTGGGACAACGGAAATGGGGTCAGGGGCAACAGAAACGGGCTCAGGGACCCTAAAAATGGCATCAGGGACCCCAAAAACGGGCTCAGGGACCCCCGAAACGGGGTCGGGGGCACCGGAAATGGGCTCAGGGACACCGGAAACGGGGCCGGAGGCACCGGAAATGGGGTCGGGGGCATCGGAAATGGGGTCAGGGACATCAAAAATGGGCTCGGGGACCCCAAAAACGGGGTCGGGGACCCCAAAAACGGGGCCGGGGGCACCGGAAACGGGGTGGGGGGCACCGGAAACTGGGTGGGGGGCACCGGAAATGGGGTGGGGGGAAACGGAAATGGGGTCGGGGGCAACGGAAACGGGGTGGGGGCAACGGAAACGGGGTGGGGTGCAACGGAAATGGGGTTGGGGACAACGGAAATGGGGTCGGGGGCAACGGAAATGGGGTTTAGGACCCCAAAAATGGGGTTTGGGACAACGGAAATGGGGTTTGGGACACCAAAAATGGGATTAGGGACAATGAAAATGGGGTTAAGGGCACCAAAAATGGGGTTTGGGACCCACCAAAATCACCATCAGACCCCCCCAAACCACCATCAGACCCCCCAAAGCCCTCAAGGACCCCCCAAACCCCTCAAGGACCCCCCCAAGCCCTCAAGGACCCCCCAAGCCCCACCTCGTCCTTGGCCTGCAGCAGGAACTCGCTCCCATCGCCGGTCCTACGAGACAGGGACAGTGTCACCGTGTCCCCCTGGACTGGGGGGCGCCAGAGCCACCAAAGTCACCAGGAGACCCCAAAAGTGGTGTCAGACACCCCAACAGGGCCAGCGGGCACCCAAAATGACATCAGGGCCACCCAAATCAACAGGAGACCCCAAAATGACATCAGAGACCCCACAAGTGACATCAGGGCCACCAAAATTGACAGGAGACCCCAGAAGTGACATCAGAGACCCCACAAGTGACATCAGAGACCCCAAAATGACATCAGGGCCACCAAAACCAACAGGAGACCCCAAAGTGACATCGGAGACCCCAAAATTGACATCAGAGACCCCAAAAGTGACATCGGAGACCCGAAAATGACATCAAGGCCACCAAAATGTACAGGAGACCCAAAATGACATCAGAGAACCCAAAAGTGCCATCAGAACCACCAAAATCAACAGGAGACCCCAAAATGACATCAGAAATCCCAAATGTGACATCGGAGACCCCAAAATGACATCAGAGAACCCAAAAGTGCCATCAGAAACCCCGAAAGTGCCATCAGGGCCACCCAAATCAACAGGAGACCCCAAAATGACATCGGAAACCCCAAAATGACATCAGGGCCACCAAAACCAACAGGAGGCCCCAAAATGACATCAGAGAACCCAAAAGTGACATCAGGGCCACCAAAACCAACAGGAGGCCCCAAAATGACATCAGAGACCCCAAAATGACATCAGGGCCACCAAAACCAACAGGAGGCCCCAAAATGACACGGGAGACCCCAAAATGACATCAGGGCCACCAAAATCAACAGGAGACCCCAAAGTGACATCGGAGACCCCAAAATTGACATCAGAGACCCCAAAAGTGACATCGGAGACCCCAAAATGACATCAAGGCCACCAAAATGTACAGGAGACCCAAAATGACATCAGAGACCCCAAAATGACATCAGAGACCCCAGAAGTGCCATCAGAACCACCAAAATCAACAGGAGACCCCAAAATGACATCAGAAACCCCAGAAGTGACATCGGAGACCCCAAAATGACATCAGGGCCACCCAAATCAACAGGAGACCCCAAAGTGACATCAGAGAACCCAAAAGTGACATCGGAGACCCCACAAGTGCCATCAGAAACCCTGAAAGTGACATCAGGGCCACCCAAACCAACAGGAGACACCAAAATGACATAGGAGAACCCAAAAGTGCCACCAGAGACCTCAGAAGTGACATCAGAAACCCCAAAATGACATCAGAACCACCCAAATCAACAGGAGACGCCAGAAGTGACATCGGAGACCCCAAAATGACATCAGAACCACCCAAATCAACAGGAGACCCCAAAATGACATCAGAGACCCCAAAAGTGACATCAGAAACCCCAAAGTGACATCAGGGCCACCCAAATGGACAGGAGACCCCAAAACGACACCAGAGACCCCAAAAGTGACATCGAAGACCCCAAAAGTGACATCAGAAGTCCCAGAAGTGCCACCAGAGACCCCAAAATGCCATCAGAGACCCCGAAAGTGCCATCAGAGACCCCAGAAGTGCCATCAGAACCACCCAAATCAACAGGAGACCCCAAAATGACATCAGGGCCACCAAAATTGACAGGAGACCCCAAAAGTGACATCAGAGACCCCAAAAAGTGACATGGGAGACCCCAAAATGACATCAGGGCCACCCAAATCAACAGGAGACCCCAAAGTGACATCAGAGAACCCAAAAGTGACATCGGAGACCCCAAAATGACATCAGGAACCCCAAAATGACATCAGAGACCCCGAAAGTGCCATCAGAGACCCCAAAAGCTCCATCGGAGGCCCCAGAAGCGAGCAGCCCCCGGACTCACTTGAGCTTGAAGACGTTCTTCTTCTTCTTGTAGTCGTTGGCCACCTCGCCGGCGGCGCGGTGCAGGCTCAGCAGGGGCTCCCCGGCGTGCGTGGCCCCGGTCGCGGGGCCCTTGGCGTCCTTGTAGAAGCCCAGGTCGCCCTTGGCCAGGACGCAGTAGAGGTTGACCCAGGACCTGCTCGTGGTGGGACACGGGCGGTGACCACCACGGTTTGGGGAGAAAGGTTTGGTGGAACGCCGAGTTTTGGTTGAGGGAGGGTCCTGTCGCTGTCACTGGTCAATCCCCGTCATTGATGGAACCCCAATGATGGTGGAACCCCCAAATTCTGGTGGGTCCTCTCCACTGATGGACACCTCAGCCCTTGGAGAACCCCAAATTCTGGTGGGTCCTCTCCACTGATGGACATCCCAGCCCTTGGTGGACCCCATCACTGATGGATCCATGGATCCCCAACCCTTGGTGAACCCCAACCCTTGGAGAAGGTCCCAACCTTGATGAACCCCCACACTTGGAGAACCCCCAACTCTTGATGAACCCCAACCCTTGGTGAACCCCAACCCTTGGAGAATCCTCAACTCTTGATGACCCCAACATTTGGAGAAACCCCAGCTCTTGATGACCCCCAACCCTTGGCAAACCCCAACCCTTGGAGAACCCCAAAATTCTGGTGGGTCCTCTCCACTGATGGATCCCCAACCCTTGGTGAACCCCAACCCTTGGAGAACCCCAACACTTGGAGAACCCCCAGCTCTTGATGAACCCCAACATTTGGAGAACCACCAACTCTTGATGAACCCCTTCCATTGATGGATCCCAACCCTTGGAGAACCCCCAGCTCTTGATGAACCCCAACATTTGAAGAACCCCCAGCTCTTGATGAACCCCAACCCTTGGAGAACCCTCAACCCTTGCTGAACCCCTTCCATTGATGGATCCCAACCCTTGGAGAACCCCCAGCTCTTGATCAACCCCAACATTTGGAGGACCCCCAACTCTTGATGAACCCCTTCCATTGATGACCCCAACATTTGAAGAACCCCCAACTCTTGATGACCCCCAACATTTGGAGAACCCCCAACATTTGGAGAACCCCCAACTCTTGAAGGCCTCCAACCCTTGCTGAACCCCTTCCATTGATGACCCCAACATTTGGAGAACCCCCAACTCTTGATGAACCCCAACCCTTGGTGAACCCCAACCGTTGGAGAACCCCCAGCACTTGATGAACCCCTTCCATTGATGACCCCAACATTTGGAGAACCCCCAGCTCTTGATGAATCCCTTCCATTGATGAATCCCAACCCTTGAAAGAACCCCCAGCTCTTGATGAACCCCAACCCTTGATGAACCCCAACATTTGGAGACCCACCAACCCTTGATGAACCCCAACCCCTGGTGAACCCCCAGCTCTTGATGAATCCCAACATTTGGAGAACCCCCAACTCTTGATGAACCTCTTCCATTGATGAACCCCAACCCTTGGAGAACCCTCAACCCTTGCTGAACCTCTTCCATTGATGGATCCCAACCCTTGGAGAACCCTCAACCCTTGCTGAACCTCTTCCATTGATGGATCCCAACCCTTGGAGAAGCCCCAGCTCTTGATGAACCCCAACCCTTGGAGAACCCTCAACCCTTGCTGAACCTCTTCCATTGATGAACCCCAACCCTTGGAGAACCCCAACATTTGGAGAACCCCCAACTCTTGACGAACCCCTTCCATGGATGAACCCCAACATTTGGAGAACCCCCAGCTCTTGATGAACCCCAACATTTGGAGAACCCCCAACTCTTGACGAACCCCTTCCATTGATGAACCCCAACATTTGGAGAACCCCCAGCTCTTGATGAACCCCAACCATTGATGAACCCCCAACTCTTGTTGACCCCCATCCATTGATGAACCCCAATCCTTGGCAAACCCCCAACCCTTGCTGAACCCCTTCCATTGATGAACCCCAACATTTGGAGAACCCCCAGCTCTTGATCAACCCCTTCCATTGATGACCCCCAACTCTTGTTGACCCCCGCCCCCTTGGAGCACCGCGATGGCCACGGCTCCCCCCCGGACCTGTTGGACGCCTTCTTGCCGGCGCCGTCGAGCTCGTGCTTGCGCAGCAGGAACCCCTCGTGCGCCACGGTGTGGGCGGGCGGCGGCGGCGGCGGCGGCGCGCTGCCCTGCGCCGGCGCCGACCGCGAGCGCCGCGGCTCCCCCGGGCCCTGCGCCGAGTCCCGGGGGCGCGGCCGGCGGCGCGGCTTGGGCCGGTCCCGCGCGCGGGGACGCTCCGGACGAGGCGTCCTCTCCGGCAGGGCCTCGGGGCCGGCGGGGAGACGGGCGGGGGAGTCACGGTCACGGGGCTGGGGACAGCAGGGGACAGTGAGGGGATGGCAGGGGACAGTGAGGGGACAGCTGGGGACAGTGAGGGGACAGGGAGGGGACAGTGAGGGGACAGCAGGGGACAGTGAGGGACAGTGAGGGGATGGCAGGGGACAGTGAGGGACAGTGAGGGACAGTGAGGGGACAGTGAGGGGACAGTGAGGGACAGTGAGGGGATGGCAGGGGACAGTGAGGGGACAGTGAGGGGACAGTGAGGGACAGTGAGGGGACAGTGAGGGGACAGTGAGGGACAGTGAGGGGACAGCAGGGGACAGTGAGGGACAGTGAGGGACAGTGAGGGGACAGTGAGGGGACAGTGAGGGGACAGCAGGGGACAGTGAGGGGATGGCAGGGGACAGTGAGGGACAGTGAGGGAGATCCAGGGGACAGTGAGGGGACAGTGAGGGGATGGCAGGGGACAGTGAGGGACAGTGAGGGACAGTGAGGGGACAGCAGGGGACAGTGAAGGGACACGTGGGATCTCCAAAGGACACCAAGGGATGTCCAGTGGGACATTGAGGGGACATTGAGGGGACACTGGGAGATCTGCAGTGGACATGGAGGGAACATTGAGGGGGACATCCAGGGGGACATAGAGGGGACAATGAGGGGACAATAGGGGACATCCAGGGGGACATTGAGGGGACAATAGGGGACATCCAGGGGGACATGGAGGGGACATTGAGGGGGACACCCAGGGGGACATAGAGGGGACATAGAGGGGACAATAGGGCTCATCCAGGGGGACACCAAGGGGAACCCAAAGGTACACGAAGAGGAATCCTTGGGGCCACCAAAGCGTTGCCAAGGTGCCACCAAGGACTCACCGAAGCCGGCACGGGGCCGCCCGCCTCCTTCTCCTGCAGCTGCTCCACGATGTCGGCCAGCGTGGCTTTGCTGCTGGAGAACATTTGGAGACCAGGGTGGCATCACCTCAGCCCCGTCCCCTCCCCGCTGTCCCCGCGGTGTCCCCGCGGCGTCCCCCGGCTCACCCGCCGCCCTTGCCGTCGTGCCGCGGCGGCTCCGGCTCGCTGGACTCCTGCCGCTCCAGCCGGCGCTCCCGGCGCTCCCGGCGCCGCTCCGGCCGCGCCTCGCCGGGCTCCTCGGCCTTGGTGGCTGCCGGAGGCTCGGCGGCCGCGGCGGTGACGGCGGCGGTGACGGCGGTGACGGCGGCCGGGGGCGGCTCGGTGAGCGCCCCGTCGGTGGCCGGCGGCTGGACACGGTCCAGCTTGGGCTGGAGGCGCTCCGGCCGCAGCTCGTGCCGGACGTAGGCGACGCGCGGCTCCGGCCGCCGAGGGTCGGCACCGCCAGGAGGCTCCCCCAGGAACTTGCGGGCCAGGAGCGGCGTCGGCGGCTGCTTGTTCTGCTCGGCCTTGAGCTTCTCGATCTGCGGCGTGGGGTGGGGATGGGGGAGATGGGGATGAGATTGAGATGGAGATGGGGATGATGGAGATGGAGATGATGGAGATGGAGATGGAGATGGAGATAGGGATGAGATGGAGAGGAGATGGAGATGATGGAGATGGGGATGGAGATGATGGAGATGAGATTGAGATGGAGATGACGGAGATGGAGATGATGGAGATGGACATGGAGATGATAGAGATGGAGATGATAGAGATGGAGATGGGGATGGAGATGGAGATGGGGAGGGAGATGGAGATGATGGAGATTATGAAGATGAAGGTGGAGTTGAGATGGAGATGAGGATGGGGATGAGAAGGAAATTATGGAGATGATAGAGATGGAGATGGCAATTGAGATGACAGATGGGATGGAGTGAAGACGGAGATTATGGAGATGGGATGGAGATGGAAATGATGAAAATGGAAATGAGATGGAGATGGAGATGGAGAAAGAGATGATGGAGATGATGGAGATGATGGAGATGGAGATGATGGAGATGGAGATGATGGAGATGGAGAAAGAGATGATGGAGATGGAGATGTGATAAGATGGGATGGAGATGGGATGCAGATGGAGATGATGGAGATGGAGATAGAAATGATGGAGATGGAGATGATGGAGATGGAGATGGAGATGATGGAGATGGAGACAGAAATGATGTCAATGGAGATGATGGAGGTGCGATGGGGACAGGGATGAAGATGGAGACGGAAATGAAGAGGACAAAGCCAGGCGATGGAAACGGCGGCAGAGACGGGAACAGGATGAAGCCCAAGGTCAGATGAGGAGACGTTTCTGCAGAACCCACAGCCGTCCCCACCCCGAGCAGGGCCCAGCCCCGGGGATGTCCCCGTCCCCGTGGCGGCCGTACCGTGGTGAGGCGCCGCAGGGAGCTGAACCTCTCCTCCCAGGCAGCCGCCGCCTTCCGGAAGGCCTCGTGCCGCCGGATCAGCTGCTCCACCTCGTCCACGCTGCTGCCCAGCTCCTGGCTCTTCAGCAGCGGCTCCTGGGCCGTCAGCCACGCGTCGGCCACCACGGCCTCCTGCGCGAACTGGTGCACCTCGCGCACTGCCGGCACAGCCGGGGCCGCCCGTCACCGCCGCGGGGCCGCCATGGGGGCCAGCGCCACCCATCCTCTGCTGGCCCTCAGCGTTTGGTGTCACCCACCATGGCTGGTGTTCCTCATAGTTTGGTGTTCCCCGTGATTTGGTGATCCCCGTAATTTCGTGTTCCTCATAATTTGGTGTTCTTCATAATTTCATGTTCCTCATAATTTGGTGATCCCCGTAATTTCATGTTCCTCATAATTTGGTGCTCCCCATAATTTGGGGTTCCTCGTAATTTGGTGATCCCCATAATTTCATGCTCCTCATAATTTGATGTTCCCCATAATTTGGTGTTCTTCATAATTTCATGTTCCTCATAATTTTGTGTTCCCAATAATTTGATGTTCTTCATAATTTGGTGATTCCCATAATTTCATGCTCCTCATAATTTGGTGATCCCCATAATTCCATGTTCCTCATAACTTGGTGTTCCCCATAATTTGGTGATCCCCGTAATTTCATGTTCCCCATAATTTTATGTTCTTCGTAATTTGGTGTTCCCCGTAATTTCATGTCCCCCATCACCTGGTGTCCCCCATCACCTGGTGTCCCCCATAAATTGATTCCCACGACCCAAAGCCCACCCCAACACCTGATGTCCCCCCAACACCCAGTGTCTACCCAGAACTTGGTGACCCCCATAAACTGGTGTCCTCCACAACCCAATGCCCACTCCAACACCTGATGTCCCCCCAACACCTGATGACCACCCAGAACTTGGTGACCCCCATAAACTGGTGTCCTCCACAACCCAATGCCCACCCCAAGACCTGGTGTCCCCCCAACACCCCCCAAAAACCTTCTGATGTCCCCCCAACCACCACCAATGACCCCCTGGTATCCCCGGGGGTGGCACTCACTCTGCTGCAGCCACTCCCAGTGCTTGTCCCACTTCTCCGTCATCTCCTTCTTCTTCGCCAGGAGCTTCTCCATGTGGGATTTGATCTGCAGGGGAGGGGACACGTGGGTCGGGACACCCCAGAAGTTCCGCCACGCCCCCTCCCCACACCGTCCACACCCCCCCGGGGCGGGCACCTCGTCGGCGGCGGGGCTCTTGCTGAGGATGAGGGTCTTGCCCAGCTCCAGGCAGGTGGCCACGTTCTTGGCCCGCGCCTCCATCTCGGTCTTGAGGCTTTGGTGGTCGTTCATCAGCAGCTCCACCGAGGACACGTCCCTGGGGCGGGGTAGGGACAAGGTGGGGATGGAGGGGGCGGTTCTGGATGGCTGGGAGGGGACATTGGGGAAGGGTGGGGGGGTCCTCCTGATGGACCAGGATGGGGTCCTTGGGTCCACAGTGGGACAGGACATGGTCCTTGGGTCCACAGTGGGACAGGACTTGGTCCTTGGGTCCATGGTGGAACAGGACATGGACCCTCAGATGGACCAAGACCCAGGACCTTGGGATGAACCAGGACACTGTCCTTGGGCCCATGGTGGGACAAGAGATGGTCCTTGGGTCCACGGTGGGACAGGACATGGTTGTTAGGCCCATGGTGGGCCAGGATTTGGTCCTTGGGTCCATGGTGGGACAGGAGATGGTCCTTGGGTCCACGGTGGGACAGGACCCAGATCCTCAGATGGACCAGGACGTGGTCCTTGGGTCCATGGTGGGACAGGAGATGGTCCTTGGGTCCATGGTGGGACAGGAGATGGTCCTTGGGTCCATGGTGGGACAGGACATGATCATTGGGTCAATGGTGGGACAGGAGATGGTCCTTGGGCCCATGGTGGAACAGGACCCGGATCCTCAGATGGACCAAGACCCAGGACCTTGGGATGGACCAGGACATGGTCCTTGGGTCCCTGGTGGGACAGGATTTGGTCCTTGGGTCCATGATGGAACAGGACCCAGATCCTCAGATGGACCAAGACACGGGATGGTGGCACCATGAGAAGCCAGAACATGTCCTTGGGTCCATGGTGGGACAGGACCCAGATCCTCACACGGACCAGGACGTGGTCCTTGGGTCCATGGTGGGCCACGACTTGATCCTTGGGTCCATGATAGAACAGGACATGGGACCTTGGGATGGACCAGGACGTGATCCTTGGGTCCATGGTGGGACAGGACATGGACCCTCAGATGGACCAGGACCTTGGGATGAACCAGGACGTGGTCCTTGGTCCATGATGGGACAGGACTTGATCCTTGGATCCCTCAGATGGACCAGGACGTGGGATGGTTCCACCACAAGAGACCAGGACATCTTTGGGTCCATGATGGGACAGGACATGGGACCTTGGGATGGACCAGGACGTGGTCCTTGGGTCCATGATGGGACAGGACTTGATCCTTGGATCCATGGTGGAACAGGACATGGACCCTCAGATGGACCAAGACACAGGACCTTGGGATGGACCAGGACGTGATCCTTGGGTCCATGGTGGACCAGGACTTGATCCTTGGGTCCCTCAGATGGACCAGGACACAGGACCTTGGGATGGACCAGGACGTGGCATGGTTGCACCACGAGACACCAGGACATCTTTGGGTCCACGATAGAACAGGACATGGGACCTTGAGATGGACCAGGACGTGGTCCTTGGGTCCCTGGTGGGACAGGACTTGATCCTTGGATCCCTCAGATGGACCAGGAGGTGGTCCTTGGGTCCATGGTGGACATGGACTCAGATGGACCAGGACACAGGACCTTGGGATGGACCAGGACGTGGCATGGTCGCACCACGAGACACCAGGACATCTTTGGGTCCACGATAGAACAGGACATGGGACCTTGGGATGGACCAGGACGTGGTCCTTGGGTCCATGGTGGGACAGGACTTGATCCTTGGGTCCCTCAGATGGACCAGGACATGGGATGGTTGCACCACGAGAGACCAGGACACGATCTTTGAGTCCATGGTGGAACAGGACATGGGACCTTGGGATGGACCAGGACGTGGTGCTTGGGTCCATGATGGGACAGGACATGGACCCTCAAATGGACCAGGACACAGGACCTTGGGATGGACCAGGACACAGGACCTTGGGATGGACCAGGATGTGGTCCTTGGTCCATGGTGGGACAGGACTTGATCCTTGGATCCCTCAGATGGACCAGAACATGGTCTTTGGGTCCATGGTGGACATGGACCCTCAGATGGACCAAGACACAGGACCTTGGGATGGACCAGGACGTGGTCCTTGGATCCATGGTGGAACAGGACTTGATCCTTGGGTCCATGATGGGATAGGACATGGACCCTCAGATGGACCAGGACCCAGGACCTTGGGATGGACCAGGACACAGCACCTTGGGATGGACCAGGACTTGATCCTTGGATCCATGATGGGACAGGACTTGATCCTTGGGTCCCTCAGATGGACCAGGACATGGGATGGTGGCACCACAAGACACCAGGACATCTTTGGGTCCATGGTGGAACAGGACATGGGACCTTGGGATGGACCAGGACGTGGTGCTTGGGTCCATGGTGGGACAGGACTTGAACCTTGGATCCATGGTGGAACAGGACATAGACCCTCAGATGGACCAGGACATGGTCCTTGGGTCCATGGTGGACATGGACCCTCAGATGGACCAGGACCCAGGACCTTGGGATGGACCAGGACGTGATCCTTGGTCCATGATGGGACAGGACTTGATCCTTGGGTCCCTCAGATGGACCAGGACGTGGGATGGTTGCACCACGAGACACCAGGACATCTTTGGGTCCACGATAGAACAGGACATGGGACCTTGGGATGGACCAGGACATGGTCCTTGGGTCCATGGTGGAACAGGACATGGACCCTCAGATGGACCAGGACCTTGGGATGGACCAGGACGTGGTCCTTGGGTCCCTCAGATGGACCAGGACGTGGGATGGTTGCACCACGAGAGACCAGGACACGATCTTTGAGTCCATGGTGGAACAGGACACAGGACCTTGGGATGGACCAGGACACAGGACCTTGGGATGGACCAGGACGTGGTCCTTGGTCCATGGTGGGACAGGACTTGATCCTTGGATCCCTCAGATGGACCAGAACATGGTCTTTGGGTCCATGGTGGACATGGACCCTCAGATGGACCAAGACACAGGACCTTGGGATGGACCAGGACGTGGTCCTTGGATCCACGGTGGAACAGGACATGGGACCTTGGGATGGACCAGGACACGGTCCTTGGGTCCATGGTGGGACAGGACATGGACCCTCAAATGGACCAGGACACAGGACCTTGGGATGGACCAGGACACAGGACCTTGGGATGGACCAGGACGTGATCCTTGGATCCATGATGGGACAGGACTTGATCCTTGGGTACCTCAGATGGACCAGGACATGGTCTTTGGGTCCATGGTGGACATGGACCCTCAGATGGACCAGGACATGGGATGGTGGCACCACGAGACACCAGGACACGATCTTTGAGTCCATGGTGGAACAGGACATGGGACCTTGGGATGGACCAGGACGTGGTGCTTGGGTCCATGATGGGACAGGACATGGACCCTCAAATGGACCAGGACACAGGACCTTGGGATGGACCAGGACACAGGACCTTGGGATGGACCAGGATGTGGTCCTTGGTCCATGGTGGGACAGGACTTGATCCTTGGATCCCTCAGATGGACCAGAACATGGTCTTTGGGTCCATGGTGGACATGGACCCTCAGATGGACCAAGACACAGGACCTTGGGATGGACCAGGACGTGGTCCTTGGATCCATGGTGGAACAGGACTTGATCCTTGGGTCCATGATGGGATAGGACATGGACCCTCAGATGGACCAGGACCCAGGACCTTGGGATGGACCAGGACACAGCACCTTGGGATGGACCAGGACTTGATCCTTGGATCCATGATGGGACAGGACTTGATCCTTGGGTCCCTCAGATGGACCAGGACATGGGATGGTGGCACCACAAGACACCAGGACATCTTTGGGTCCATGGTGGAACAGGACATGGGACCTTGGGATGGACCAGGACGTGGTGCTTGGGTCCATGGTGGGACAGGACTTGAACCTTGGATCCATGGTGGAACAGGACATAGACCCTCAGATGGACCAGGACATGGTCCTTGGGTCCATGGTGGACATGGACCCTCAGATGGACCAGGACCCAGGACCTTGGGATGGACCAGGACGTGATCCTTGGTCCATGATGGGACAGGACTTGATCCTTGGGTCCCTCAGATGGACCAGGACGTGGGATGGTTGCACCACGAGACACCAGGACATCTTTGGGTCCACGATAGAACAGGACATGGGACCTTGGGATGGACCAGGACATGGTCCTTGGGTCCATGGTGGAACAGGACATGGACCCTCAGATGGACCAGGACCTTGGGATGGACCAGGACGTGGTCCTTGGGTCCCTCAGATGGACCAGGACGTGGGATGGTTGCACCACGAGAGACCAGGACACGATCTTTGAGTCCATGGTGGAACAGGACACAGGACCTTGGGATGGACCAGGACACAGGACCTTGGGATGGACCAGGACGTGGTCCTTGGTCCATGGTGGGACAGGACTTGATCCTTGGATCCCTCAGATGGACCAGAACATGGTCTTTGGGTCCATGGTGGACATGGACCCTCAGATGGACCAAGACACAGGACCTTGGGATGGACCAGGACGTGGTCCTTGGATCCACGGTGGAACAGGACATGGGACCTTGGGATGGACCAGGACACGGTCCTTGGGTCCATGGTGGGACAGGACATGGACCCTCAAATGGACCAGGACACAGGACCTTGGGATGGACCAGGACACAGGACCTTGGGATGGACCAGGACGTGATCCTTGGATCCATGATGGGACAGGACTTGATCCTTGGGTACCTCAGATGGACCAGGACATGGTCTTTGGGTCCATGGTGGACATGGACCCTCAGATGGACCAGGACATGGGATGGTGGCACCACGAGACACCAGGACACGATCTTTGAGTCCATGGTGGCCATGACCCCTCAGATGCACCAAGCCCCAGAACCTCATGAAGGACCATCCCTCCTCGCCCACCAGCCCTACCTGGGCTTCTCCCCGGCGCCCATCTGGTGGAGCACGCCGTCCATCCAGGCCAGCAGGTCCCTGGCGGTGCCCACGAACCGGATCTTGTCGGCCACGCTGGCCACGTGCAGCCGGCACTCCTCGCACGCCGCCAGCAGCTCCTTCCAGGCCCGCAGCACCTCCTGCTCGCGCCCGGCGATGGCCTCGGCGTTGTCCCCGGCGTAGAGCGTCCGCAGCTGCGCCGCGCCCTCCTGCAGCTGCCGCACCTGCGTCACCAGCACCTCCACGTCGTGCTCGAAGGCGCCCAGGGCCCTCTGCAGGGCGCCGGCCGAGCTCCGGCCCTCGCGCGCCGCCAGCTCCGGCAGCCGCTGCCGCTTCTCCTCGATCTGCCCCAGGACCTCCTTGCAGTTGTTGAAGAACTTGTGCAGCTCGTGGGACGCCGCCAGCATCTGCGCGCGGGTCTCCATCAGCTCCAGGAGGTCGGCCCAGGCCTCGTTGACGCCGTCCTTCCACTCGGCGATGGTGGCGGCGTCCGTGTGGCCGTAGTCGATGAGCTCGTCCACCATCTGGTTGACGGCGGCGATGCGCTCCTGGCCCACGCTGCCCGTCTCGCTGGCGAACTCCAGGAACTTCTCCTGCAGCAGCTGAGGGGGCCCGGGATGCGCGCAGGGCAGGGGTCAGGGGTCAGGGGTCAGGGGTCAGGGGTCAGGGGCGGGCAGGGCTTGGGACCACCAGGGTGGGATGGGGATGGTGCCAGGACCCCCAGCCAGGGGATGGAGGGGGTGGCCAGGACCACCAGGATGGTGCCAGGACCACCAGGGTGGGATGGGGATGGAGCCAGGACCTTCAGCCAGGGGATGGAGGAGATGGCCAGGACCAAAATGGTGCCAGGACCACCAGGATGGTAGCAGGACCACCAGGGTGGGATGGGGATGGTGCCAGGACCCTCAGCCAGGGGATGGAGGAGATGGTTCCAGGACCAGGATGGTGCCAGAACCACCAGGATGATGGCAGAACCACCAGGATGGTGCCAGGACCACCAGGAAGGTGCCAGGACCACCAGGATGGTGCCAGGACCACCAGGAAGGTGCCAGGACCACCAGGATGGTGCCAGGACCACCAGGATGGAGCAAGGATGGTGCCAGGACCACCAGGATGATGGCAGAACCACCAGGATGGTGCCAGGACCACCAGGAAGGTGCCAGGACCACCAGGATGGTGCCAGGACCACCAGGATGGAGCAAGGATGGTGCCAGGACCACCAGGAAGGTGTCAAGACCACCAGGGGACAGAGGAGATGGTTCCAGGACCACCAGGATGGTGCCAGGACCACCAGGGTGGGATGGGGATGGTTCCAGGACCACCAGGATGGTGCCAGGACCACCAGGGTGGGATGGGGATGGTGCCAGGACCCCCAGCCAGGGGACAGAGGGGGTGGCCAGGACCAGAATGGTGCCAGGACCAGAATGGTGCCAGGACCACCAGGGGATGGAGGGGGTGGCCAGGACCACCAGGATGGTGCCAGGACCACCGGGAAGGTGTCAAGACCACCCGGATGGTGCCAGGACCACCAGGAAGGTGCCAGGACCACCAGGAAGGTGTGAAGACCACCAAGAAGGTGTCAAGACCACCAGGATGGTGCCAGGACCACCAGGGGACAGAGGAGATGGCCAGGACCACCAGGATGGTGCCAGGACCACTCGGATGGTGCCAGGACCACCAGGAATCTGCCAGGACCACCAGGATGGTGCCAGGACCACCAGGAAGGTGCCAGGACCACTCGGATGGTGCCAGGACCACCAGGACGGTGCCAGGACCCCAACAACCCCCACCAACCTCTCCACCACGGCCCCAAATCCACCCCAGCCCCAACCACATCCACCACCGCCCTCCCGTGCTCACCGTGACGTGCTCGAAGTCCTGCCCCAGCTCGGGCGAGCCGGCCACCACCTCCTTCTCGGCGATCCAGTGCTCCAGCTCGTCCACCTCGCGGTTGAGCTGGTAGAGCCAGTACTGCTGCTCCAGCTTGACCTTGCGCTCCTCCACCAGGTCCTTCAGAGACACGTACAGCCGGTCAACCTGCGACTGCCGCCTGCTGACCTGTTCGCTGGGCAAGGACACCACGGCGCCGTCAGCCCCGGGGGGTGCCCAAGGGGGTGCCCAAGGGGGTGGCCGGGGTGGCCGGGGGGTGACCGGGGGGTGTGGGCGGACCTCTGCGGGTGGCCGAGCTCCAGGAGGGCGCGGCACTGCCGGGAGAGCTGGGCGATGGTTTCCTCGTAGTTGTCGATGGTTTGCTCGGTGAGCAGGTGCTTCTTGAGGAGCTGCAGGGTGCTCTGCTCGTCCTGCGTGGGGCAGGGTGGGGGCTTGAGGGTCGGCAGCAGCGCTTGAGGTGAGGCAGCCCCAACTCGAGCAGTGCAAGAAACTCCGGCAACCGATGCGGCCAAATGAACCAAACCAACCCAAACCAACCCAAACCAACCCAAACCAAGGCCACCAACTCCAGCACGCGATGCGGCCAAATGAACCAAACCGAGCCCACCAACTCCACCAAGCACCCAAACCAACCCAAACCAACCCAAACCAACCCAAACCAACCCAAACCAAGGCCACCAACTCAACAAAGCACCCAAACCAACCCAAACCAACCCAAACCAACCCAAACCAAGGCCACCTACTCAACAAAGCACCCAAACCAACTCAACAAAGCACCCAAACCAACTCCACCACCTGATGCGCCCAACTCAACCAAACCAACCCAAACCAATCCAAACCAACCCAAACCAACCCAAACCGAGCCCACCAACTCTACCACCCAAACCAACTCCACCACGCGATCAACCCAACCAAACCAAACCAAGGCCACCAACTCCAGCACGCGATGCGCCCAACTCAACCAAACCAAGGCCACCAACTCCAGCACGCAATGCGCCCAACTCAACCAAACCAACAAAGCACCCAAACCAACCCAAACCGAGCCCACCAACTCAACAAAGCACCCAAACCAACTCCACCACCCAAAGCACCCAAACCAACTCCACCACGCAATCAACCCAACCAACCCAAACCAAGGCCACCACCTCAACCACCCAAACCAACTCCACCATGCGATGCGCCCAACTCAACCAAACCAACAAAGCACCCAAACCAACCCAAACCAACCCAAACCGAGCCCACCAACTCCACCACCCAAACCAACTCCACCACCCGATGCGCCCAACTCAACCAAACCAACAAAGCACCCAAACCAACCCAAACCAACCCAAACCAAGGCCACCAACTCCACCACCCAAACCAACCCAAACCAACCCAAACCAACCCAAACCAAGGCAACCAACTCAACCACCCAAACCAACCCAAACCAAGGCAACCAACTCAACCACCCAAACCAACTCCACCACCCGATGCGCCCAACTGAGCCAAACCAACAAAGCACCCAAACCAACCCAAACCAAGGCCACCAACTCAACAAAGCACCCAAACCAACTCCACCACCCAAAGCACCCAAACCAACTCCACCACGCGATCAACCCAACCAACCCAAACCAAGGCCACCAACTCCACCACGCAATGCGCCCAACTGAACCAAACCGAGCCCACCAACTCAACAAAGCACCCGAACCAAGCCAATGCACCCAACTAAGCCAAACCAAGGCCACCAACTCCACCACCCAAACCAACTCCACCACGCGATGCGCCCAACTCAACCAAACCAAGGCCACCAACTTCACCAACTGATGTGCCCAAATCAACCAAACCAAGCCCAACTCAACAAAGCACCCAAACCAACTTCACCACCCAAAGCACACAAACCAACTCCACCACCCAATGCACCCAACTAAACCAAACCGAGGCCACCAACTCAACAAAGCACCCAAACCAAGCCAACCGCCCAATCAACCCAACTCAACCCAACCCAACCCAACCCAACCTCACCCAATCCAAACAGCCCAACACAACCAAGCCAATCTCACCCAACCCAACCACCCAATGCACCCAGTTAAACCAACCCAATCCAACCCGACCAAGCCCAACCCAACCCAACTCAACCCAACCCACCCAACCCATCAAACTCACCCAATCAAACCAACCCAACCCAACCCAACCCAACCCATCCCAACTCAGCCCAACCCAACCCAACCCATCAAACTCACCCAATCAAACCAACCCAACCCAACTCAACCCAACCCACCCAACCCAACCAACCCAACCCATCAAACTCACCCAATCAAACCAACCCAACCCAACCCACCCAACCCAACACAACCCAACCCAGCCTAACCCAACCCAACCCAACCCATCAAACTCACCCAACCCAACCAACCCAACCCAACCCAACTCAACCCATCCCAACTCAGCCCAACCCAACCCAACCCATCAAACTCACCCAATCAAACCAACCCAACCCAACTCAACCCAATCCAACCCAACCAACCCAACCCGACCAAGCCCAACCCAACCCAACCCAACCCAACTCAACCCAACCCACCCAACCCATCAAACTCACCCAATCAAACCAACCTAACCCAACCCAACTCAACCCATCCCAACTCAGCCCAACCCAACCCAACCCATCAAACTCACCCAATCAAACCAAACCAACCCAACTCAACCCAACCCAACCCATCAAACTCACCCAATCAACCCAACCCGACCCAACTCAACCCAACCCAACCCAACCCAACCCAACCCACCCAACCCATCAAACTCACCCAATCAAACCAACCCAACCCAATCAAACCAACCCAACCCAACCCAACCAACCCAACCCGACCAAGCCCAACCCAACCCAACTCAACCCAACCCATCAAACTCACCCAATCAAACCAAACCAAACCAACCCGACCCAACCCAACCCATCCATTTCACCCAACCCAACCCATCCCATCCAATTCACCCAACCACCAACCCCCTCCATCCCGAACCTTTCCCTTCTCCTCGTTCATCAGGAGCAGCTCCTGCTCGCCCAGCCACGACTCCACCTCGGCCACGTCGAAGTAGTACTGCTCCAGCTGGTAGGTGGCGTCCAGGGCCTGCTGCCGGCGCTCCGTCTGCTCCTGCAGCTCGGCCCAGAGCGTCCCCAGCCGCTCCAGGAGGCCCCGCACGCCCTCGGCCTCGGGGCTCTTGATGGACGCCACGGCGGCCGCGCGCTCCAGCACCTCGTCCACGCGGGGCCGGTGCACCTGGATCTCCCGGCGCAGGTTCTGCAGGTGGGCGGGGCGGGGTGGGGTGACCTGGGTGGTGCAAGGTCCCGCCTTGCCCCCAGACCCCTCCCCAGAAGGTGAGGAGCGGCTCCAGCATCTCCCCATGGTGAATTTTGGGGTCCCACCTTGCCCCCAGATCCCACCCCAGAAGGTGAGAGCTGCCCCAACATCTCCCCAACTCGTCATGGTGAATTTTGGGGTCCCACCTTGCCCCCAGATCCCACCCCAGAAGGTGAGGAGCTGCCCCAACATCTCCCCAACTCGTCATGGTGAATTTTGGGATCCCACCTTGCCCCCAAACCCCTCCCCAGAAGGTGAGGAGCAGCTCCAGCATCTCCCCATGGAGAATTTTGGGGTCCCACCTTGCCCCCAGACCCCTCCCCAGAAGGTGAGGAGCAGCCCCAACATCTCCCCATGGTGAATTTTGGGGTCCCACCTTGGCCCCAAACCCCTGGTGGTGAATTTCGGGGTCCCACCTTGCCCCCAGATCCCACCCCAGAAGGTGAGGAGCTGCCCCAGCATCTCCCCATGGTGAATTTTGGGGTCCCACCTTGCCCCCAAACCCCTGGTGGTGAATTTTGGGGGTCCCATCTTAGCCCAAACCCCTCCCCAGAAGGTGAGGAGAGGCTCCAGCATCTCCCCATGGTGAATTTTGGGGTCCCACCTTGCCCCCAAACCCCTCCCCAGAAGGTGAGGAGCAGCTCCAGCATCTCCCCAACTCGTCATGGTGAATTTTGGGGTCCCACCTTGGCCCCCAGATCCCACCCCAGAAGGTGAGGAGTGGCTCCAGCATCTCCCCATGGTGAATTTTGGGGTCCCACCTTGCCCCCAAACCCCTGGTGGTGAATTTTGGGGTCCCATCTTAGCCCAAACCCCTCCCCAGAAGGTGAGGAGCTGCCCCAACATCTCCCCAACTCGTCATGGTGAATTGTGGGGTCCCACCTTGGCCCCTAAACCCCACCCCAGAAGGTGAGGAGCAGCTCCAGCATCTCCCCATGGTGAATTTTGGGGTCCCACCTTGCCCCCAAACTCCTGGTGGTGAATTTTGGGGTCCCATCTTAGCCCAAACCCCTCCCCAGAAGGTGAGGAGCGGCTCCAGCATCTCCCCATGCTGAATTTTGGGGTCCCACCTTGGCCCCAAACCCCTCCCCAGAAGGTGAGGAGCAGCTCCAGCATCTCCCCATGGTGAATTTTGGGGTCCCACCTTGGCCCCTAAACTCCACCCCAGAAGGTGAGAAGCAGCTCCAGCATCTCCCCATGGTGAATTTTGGGGTCCCAGCTTGCCCCCAGATCCCACCCCAGAGGTGAGGAGAGGCTCCAGCATCTCCCCAACATCTCCCCATGGTGAATTTTGGGGTCCCACCTTGGCCCCCAGATCCCACCCCAGAAGGTGAGGAGCAGCTCCAGCATCTCCCCATGGTGAATTTTGGGGTCCCACCTTGCCCCCAAACCCCACCCCAGAAGGTGAGGAGCTGCCCCAGCATCTCCCCATGGTGAATTTTGGGGTCCCACCTTGCCCCCAAACCCCTCCCCAGAAGGTGAGGAGCTGCCCCAACATCTCCCCATGGTGAATTTTGGGGTCCCGCCTTGCCCCCAGACCCCTCCCCAGAAGGTGAGGAGCTGCCCCAGCATCTCCCCATGGTGAATTTTGGGGTCCCACCTTGCCCCCAAACCCCTGGTGGTGAATTTTGGGGTCCCATCCTAGCCCAAACCCGTCCCCAGAAGGTGAGGAGTGGCTCCAGCATCTCCCCAACTCGTCATGGTGAATTTTGGGGTCCCACCTTGGCCCCAAACCCCTCCCCAGAAGGTGAGGAGCTGCCCCAGCATCTCCCCATGGTGAATTTTGGGGTCCCACCTTGCCCCCAAACCCCTGGTGGTGAATTTTGGGGTCCCACCTTGGCCCCAAACCCCACCCCAGAAGGTGAGGAGCTGCCCCAGCATCTCCCCATGGTGAATTTTGGGGTCCCACCTTGCCCCCAAACCCCTCCCCAGAAGGTGAGGAGCTGCCCCAGCATCTCGAGGTGAATTTTGGGGTCCCACCTTGGCCCCTAAACCCCACCCCAGAAGGTGAGGAGCAGCTCCAGCATCTCCCCATGGTGAATTGTGGGGTCCCACCTTGCCCCCAAACCCCTGGTGGTGAATTTTGGGGTCCCATCCTAGCCCAAACACCTCTCCAGAAGGTGAGGAGCTGCCCCAGCATCTCGAGGTGAATTTTGGGGTCCCACCTTGCCCCCAGGTGTGGCGCGGGTGCTGACCTGGTTCTTCTTGATGAACTGCTGGACGGTCTGGAGGTTGGTGCCATGGTCCTTGAGCATGGCCAAGGGCAGGCGGTCCTGGACCCACATCTGGGACAGGGGTGGAGCTCAGTGTCATGGCTGTCCCCATCCCACCCCATCCCCATCTCTGTGTTCCCCTCTGTCCCGTCCCCATCTTCATCCCATCTCCATCCCATCTCCATCATCTCCATCCCATCTCCATCCCATCTCCATCCCATCTCCATCCCCATCCCACCCCATCCCCATCTCTGTGTTCACCTCTGTCCCGTCCCCATCTTCATCTCATCTCCATCCCATCTCCATCATCTCCATCCCATCTCCATCCCCATCCATCTTCATCTTCACCCCATCTCCATCATCTCCATCCCATCTCCATCCCATCTCCATCCCCATCCATCTTCATCTTCATCCCATCTCCATCTCCGCCCCATTCATTGCAAACTCCATCCCATCTCCATCCAATCTTCTTCTCCACCGTCAATCCCATCTCCATCTCCATCTCATCTCCATCCCCTTCCTATCTCCATCCCATCTCCATCCCCATCCATCTTCATCCCATCCCCATCTCCATCTCCATTTCCATCTCCATCTCCACCCTGTTGACCTAAAACTCCATCCCATCTCTTTCTCCATCTTCACCCCCATCTCCATCCCATCTCCATCATCTCCATTTCCATCCTATCTCCATCCCATCTCCATTTCCATCTCCATTTCCATCTCCACCCCATTCACCTAAAACTCCATCCCATCTCCATCTCATCTACATTTCATCTCCATCATCTCCATCCCATCTCCATCCCATCTCCATCCCATCTCCATCATCTCCATCCCATCTCCATCCCATCTCCGTCTCCATCCATCTTCATCCCATCCCCATCCCATCTCCGTCTCCATCCATCTTCATCCCATCCCCATCTCCATCCCATTTCCATCTCCATCTCCATCTCCATCTCCATCTCCATCTCCATCTCCACCCTATTGACCTAAAACTCCATCCCATCTCTTTCTCCATCTTCACACCCATCTCCATCCCATCTCCATCATCTCCATTTCCATCCTATCTCCATCCCATCTCCGTCTCCATCCCATCTCCATTTCCATCTCCACCCCATTCACCTAAAACTCCATCCCATCTCCATCTCATCTACATTTCATCTCCATCATCTCCATCCCATCATCTCCATCATCTCCATCCCATCTCCATTTCCATCTCCACCCCATTCACCTAAAACTCCATCCCATCTCCATCTCATCTACATTCCATCTCCATCCCATCATCTCCATCCCATCTCCATCTCTACCCCATTCACCTCCACCCCCATCCCACCCCCATCCCACCTCCATCTCCACCTCCACCCCACCCCACCCCGATACTCACCACCTCGTCCTCCAGCTCATGGCTGACCTGGTGGACCTCCTTGGAGGCCAGCAGGATCCTGCGGCGCTCCTTGAGGGGCTCGATGAGGCGCACGATGCGCGTCCCCACCGCGCTCTGCCGCTCGCCCACCGCCTCGCGCCCGGCCGCCTGTGCCGGCAGCGCCGCCGCCTGCGCCTGCAGCTCGCCCACCTCCTTGTACCACTCCTCCACCTGCGACTCCATCGTCTGCGGGACACGAGGGGTGGCAGGGTGGCCGCCGTGCCCGGGGTGGGACCTACAGCACCCAGGGTGGAGCCTTCCTCCCAAAAAAATGTCCTGGCCCCACGATGTGGTGGGCCTGTAATTTGGTAGGCACCATAACCTGGTGGTGACCCCCATAATGTGGTGTCCACCATAACCTGGTGGTGACCCCCATAATGTGGTGGACACCATAACCTGGTGTCACCCTCCATAATTTGGTGTCCACCATAACCTGGTGGCGACCCCCATCATTTGGTGTCCACCATAACCTGGTGGTGACCCCCATCATTTGGTGTCCATCATAACCTGGTGTCACCCTCCAGAATTTGGTGTCCATCATAACCTGGTGTCACCCTCCATAATGTGGTGTCCACCATAACCTGGTGGCGACCCCCATAATGTGGTGGGCACCATAACCTGGTGCCACCCCCCATCATTTGGTGTCCTGGTGTTACCCCCCACCATTTGGTGTCCCTCATAATGTGGTGCCCACCACAATCTGGCGTCTACCACAATCTGGTGTCCACCATAACCTGGTGTCCCTCATAATGTGGTGTCCACCATAGCCTGGTGTCCCCCCAACACCCAATGTCCCCCCAGCCCCTGGTATCTCCTCAACCCCTTGTGTCCCCCCAACACCCAATGTCCCGCCACACCTGGTGTCCCCCAACCCTTGGTGTCCCCCCACCACCTGGTGTCCCCCAACGCCCCATGTCCCTCCAAGGCCTGGTGTCCCCCAACACGCAATGTCCCCCAACATCTGGAGACCATCCAAGACCTGATGTTCCCCGTAACTTCCCAACACTCAACGTCCCTTCAAGACCCAACATCTCCTCAACATCTCCTCAGGACCCAACATCTCCCCAAAACCCTTGGTGTCCCCCCAACCCCTGCTGTCCCCCAACGCCCAATGTCCCCCCAACCCCTGGTGTCCCCCCACGGTCTAGTGTCCCTCAACACCTGGTGTCCTCCACCACCTGCTGTCCCCCCATCCCCTGGTGTCCCCCCAACCCCTGGTGCCCCCCAACCTCTGGTGTCCCCTCAACACCCAATGTCCCCCCAACTCCCAATGTCCCCACTGCACCTGGTGTCCCCCATCCCCTGCTGTCCCCCCAACCCCTGGTGTCCCTCAACCCCCCAATGTCCCCCCAACACCGAATGTCCCCACCGCACCTGGTGTCCCTCAACACCCAATGTCCCCTCAACCCCCAATGTACCCCCAACACCCAATGTCCCCTCAACCCCCAATGTACCCCCAACACCCAATGTCCCCCCAACCCCTGGTGTCCCCCAACCCCCAATGTCCCCCAACCCTTGGTGTCCCCCCCACACCTGCTGTCCCCCAACCCCTGGTGTTCCCCCAACACCCAATGTCCCTCCATCCCCTTGGTGTCCCCCATCCCCTGCTGTCCCCTCAACCCCTGCTGTCCCCTCAACCCCTGATATCCCCCCAACCCCTGCTGTCCCCATCCCCTGCTGTCCCCCGCACCTGCAGCCGGTTCAGCTGCCGGCTGACGCTGCGCAGGTCGGCGGTGCCGGTGCCCCGACGCTCTCCAGCTGCTCCTCGAGCCGGCCCAGCCGCGCCTCCACGTCGGCGAAGCTCCGCGCCAGGCGCTCGGCGGCCGCCGCCTCGCCAAGCGCCGGCTCCGCGCCTGGCTGGTGCTCTCCAGCTCCTGCCAGCATCTCCTGAGCTCCTCCAGCTGCCGCCGCACCGCCCCCGCTCAGCTCCGGCTTGGCCTGCACCAGCTCCTCGCCTTCCCTGGGGACGCGGCTGGGCTCAGGTGGGGCTCCAGAAACCACCTCCAATTTGGGGCCGGGGTGGTGGGGGGAGTCGGGGTGAGACAACCAAAATTCAGCACAAATGGGGTGGGGAGAGGTTGGGGGAGTCGGGGTGGGACAACCAAAATTCATCGCAAATGGGTGGGGAGAGGTTGGGGCAGATCCTCATGTTTGGGGATGGGGTTTGGGGTCAAGGTGAGACCCCAAAATTGATCATGAGGGGTTGGGGAGAGGTTGGGGGAGATCCTCATGTTCGGGGATGGGGTTTGGGGCAAGGTGGGACAACCAAAATTCAGCACAAATGGGGTGGGGAGATGTTGGGGCAGATCCTCATGTCCTGGGGAGGGGTTTGGGGCAAGGTGGGGACCCCAAAATTGATCTCGAGGGGTTGGGGAGATGTTGGGGCAGCTCCTCCCCCTCTCATTGGGGTTATGGGGTCAAGGAGGGGTTTGGGGTCAAGGTGGGACCCCAGAATTGATCTTGAGGGGTTGGGGAGAGGTTGGGGGAGATCCTCATGTTCAGGGATGGGGTTGGGGCAAGGCGGGACCCTCAAAATCCACCACGAGGGGTTGAGATGGTGGGGACCAAGGTGGGACCCCAAAATTCATCACAATGGGTTGGGGAGATGTTTAGGTAAATCCTCTCCTTCCTGGGGTGGGGTTTGGGCAAGGTGGGACCTCAGAATTCATCACAAATGGTTGGGGAGATGTTGGGGGAGATCCTCACATCCTGGGGATAGGGTTTGGGGGCAAGGTGGGACCCCAAAATTGGTCATGAGGAGTTGGGAGAGGTTGGGGCAGCTCCTCACATCCTGGGGTGGGGTTGGGGAGAGGTGGGACCCCAAAATTGATCGCAAATGGGTTGGGGAGAGGTTGGGGCAGCTCCTCATGTTTGGGGATGGGGTTTGGGGCAAGGTGGGACCCCCAAAATTGATCATGAGGGGTTGGGGAGATGTTGGGCAGATCCTCATGTTGGGGTTTGGGCAAGGTGGGACCCCAGAATTCATCACAAACGGGTGGGGAGAGGTTGGGGGAGATCCTCACATCCTGGGGAGGGGTTTGGGGTCAAGGTGGGAGCCCAAAATTGACCATGAGGGGTTGGGGAGATGTTGGGGCAGATCCTCATGTTCAGGGATGGGGTTTGGGCAAGGTGGGACCTCAAAATCCACCGACGAGGGGTTGAGGTGGTGGGCACCAAGGTGGGACCCCCAAAATTCATCACAAATGGGTGGGAAGAGGTTGGGGCAGCTCCTCATGTTCGGGGATGGGGTTTGGGGGCAAGGTGGGGACCCCAGGATGGATCTGGGGGGGGTTGGGGAGGTGGGGGGGGGGGGACACAGGGGGGACAATGGGGGGGAGGGGACAGGAGGGGGAGGGGACACGGGGGGGGGTGGGGGTGACACCATGGGGGGGTGACAAACAGTGGGGGGGGGGGACAGGTGTGACATGGGGGAGGTGACACGGGGGGTGACACAGGGGGGGTGACACAAGGTGGGTGACACATAGGGGACACCATGGGGGGGGTGACACATGGTGGGTGACACACAGGGGACACAGGGCAGGTGACACAGGGAGGGTGACACAGGGCGGGTGACACAGGGAGGGTGACACAGGGGACACAGGGCAGGTGACACAGGGAGGGTGACACGGGGGGGTGACACAGGGCAGATGACACAGGGTGGGTGACACACAGGGGACACAGGGTGGGTGACACAGGTGACACAGGGCGGGTGACACAGGGAGGGTGACACACAGGGGACACCACGGGGGGGATGACACCGGGGGGGGGGTGGTGACACACGGGGGACACCATGGGGGGGGTGGGGGGGGCGGGGTGACACGAGTGGGGGCGACACAAGGAGGGGGGGGGGGGAGGTGACGCCGCGTGTGGGGGATGGGAGGGGGCGGGGCGGGGGGCCAACGACGCAACCAAAAATGCGGGGGGGGGGGGGGGGGGGAGAGTGGAGGGGGCGGGCG